CAAATAACGTGATTCGGTTCGAAGACCAACAATATGTTGCTTATTTTATTACTTTTATTCTAACTAAGAAGGACCATCGTGTTTTAATCTTTAACTTTTTGGGACTTACCAGGAATTTCTGTTCTTTCTTCGTGCCAGCTGGCTGTTGATCCGCTACAGCCCCTTAGTTTGACCAAAACACGCAATTGATGTTAATGTTATTCGTGAAACTGTAATGCTCCAAGAGCTGGCGTCAACGTATTTAATATTTGCACTTTTTAACTTTTCTAATACTAATAACGATAACTAAAAATAGCGAACAAAACTATCAAAACCACGCGTCGATGCCTCGATCGGTTGTGTCGTTTTTCTGCCAAACGAAACTGCCTTTTTTTTTGTTTTCCCAAGAAACAAAACATTTACTATACCGGGCGGACTCCAGACAAAGTTAAATTAATTATAACAAACAAAACTAAACAGGCCCCTTAAGTGTAGTATGTAATAATAGGCGCCAAATTTTTAAGTGCCTAAGGCGCTCAATTGCCTTAAGCCGGCCCTGTGTAAAAATCATTAAATATAATATACTCTTAGGTGTAAAAGCAACACGCACTATTGGTAAAAGAACTACATTCAAGAGTAAAAAATGCTCAATTTGGTGTAATTTACTACACAGGTAGGTGTTACGTATATATGTTAAAAATGGTGGGTGTTTTAATATTAAACAAAGCATGTAATGTAAAATAAAGAATATTTTATATTACTTACAAACTATTAGATATGAATACAAATAGGCTTTGAAATAAAATTAAAAAAAAAATTATTAACACTACTTAGGTGTAAGTATTCTTATACCCAAGAAGTGTTAATAATCTTTTTTAATGTAATGAAAAGTAGTAATATTTTAAGTTTTTTTCAGTTTGTGCAAAACCATATTTAGCTTATATATAGGTATATAAGTTAAATATGATTTTTCACTAGCTCAAAAAACTTAAAATGTTACTAAATTTCATATTTCACTTAAAAATAACAGGTAAAAAAAATATGTTTTATAACAAACATAAGTTGCGTCCACTGTCCCATTGCACCACTTCACCAGACCTTAAATTAAAATATCATGCATACGTACACTACCATCAACTGCACTCGGAATACTGATCGCGCCCTTGCCGTTAGCGAATGGTAATGACTACGTGACTTTTTTTACCACAGTTTGTGTAGCTGTCAACAAATAATAGTGTCAAATGTACACCGCGTCGAGTTTATCTTTAAATTCACTAGATTGACACGGTGCTGTTTTAAATGAATTTAAATTAACACGAATTTTACCACAATTTAAAATAACCACTTAATATTTTTAACCAATTTTAGTATATAAATTAACACCAAATAATTTTACCACTCCATTTGGTAACTTTACACCGAAATATTTTATACTGTGTACTGAATTATTGAAAAATTATTGTGAATTACGTGCAGGGATGTCACTCAAAAAGCATTTTTGGCATTCACATTTGGACTTTTTTTCACAAAACATGGGTGCGGTGAGCGATGAACAAAAATTGATGAACAAAAATTTTGGGACAAAAGTATGCTGCAGCATACTTTTGTCCCAAAATTTTTGATAATTTCTTTCAATTTTTATTAAATCTTAAATCCCATGGGAGATTATTGCTGGACTTCGTGAAACTGGCCCAGAGAAATACAAACGATGTTTAAACACTGCCATTCACTTTTGAAATTTCCTTTATTTTTGAAAAAATTAACGATTTTTATTAAAAACATACGAAAACAATAATATTTTATATTTCGAATACCTGACCTGATAAGAGAAAAACAGTTACAGATTCAAATTCAGCGCGCCACATTACCTTACAAACACTATTTGCATTGAGTAATGCTATTTGGTTGCTCCAGTCCAAAACCTTGTATACCAGTTTATACAATAATTATTAGGTTTAGCTCAGGAAAATGTTAGTTAAAATATCTTTTTACATCTATTAATAATAATTGGGACATCCTGTGCATATACAATAATTATAATTAAATGGTGTATTTACGAAATTTTTGCCTCGTGAGTTTTTTATATATTCCTTTATTTAAAACATTTTAAGAAAAAATTGTTAAATTTCACATTATTATTTTATGAAATTATATAATCTTATTTAACCACACTTTAAGCATAAATTAAGAAAGAGCTTTTGGTTTAATTTAATTAATTAACTAAAACTACTGATTTTCTAAAAATATTGTTTGGTTAAATTATATTGAGTAAATAAACTTGTGATGTAAATTTTTACTTATTTGTCTTAATAATATTATATATTATATTTTAAACGATGCAAAACAAAAAATTTGTAAATAGACTAAATAGTAAAAAAATTCTTTACAATAGTCCTGATTTTAAATAAATCGTTTCGGGCTCATAAGAAAAGCTTAACCCCAACTTCATACCCCCTACGAATCAAGGTTAAAACTTTTTTTTATTTAATTAATACATATTTTGAAACTAAAAGTTGCCGTGAGATTGTAAATGACCCCTCCCCACCCTTTAAATGACATTTGCTGAGATTTTGCTGGACCCCTCCCCCCATTTTTGTCTCATGTAATTAATAGATGTACCCTTACAAGTTTTTTAGTCTAGACATTTTTAAAAATATCTAAAATATATGCCTAGACAAGCTATTTGGTTAGATTATTGGAAAATGTATAAATTAATTAAATAAATAAATAAATAAAAATTAAATTTTTCAATCTGAAATATCTCAGAAGGCACACACTTTAAAAATACAAAATTTTCAGAAAATAATTATGTTATTGTGACTTAATACATTTTTTAGTTGGACATTTTTGAAAATAGCTAAAATTTCAGGATACACTATTAAGTGCATATGTAAATATCCAAAAAATACATTGTTATTTTTATTTACAAATTATTTTTTTTAATATTTGCAATCCGAACAAAACGAAAGACACAGTATGTTATACAGGATGTATTAAAACTTTCGGTTGGGTCGCGCGTCACAACACAATAAATAATTGTTTTCTGAAATCTCAACCCGAAAAGGATGTAACTCAGTGGCGGCTCGTGACCATTCAATAAGGTGAGGCCCATGAACCGCTATATGGCGCCGCAGGCAATTTTTTTTTTTAAATTTTCAAGGCCTCGCGTTTTTGGAGCACTTCAGAATCTACATAATAAAAATATGTTCTTTCTTCTTTATATTTTTTGTGATTTTTACTGTGGTTTTTGTGTGTTAATATAATGGTATATTAAAATAAAAATGATCTTTTATAATTATTTGAATTATTTTTACATGAATTCACAATAATGCATTTTACGCTTGCATTTTTATCACAACTTTCCATTTTAACGCTAAGGCAAAGACTAAACAGAAATAAGAAACTATAAACACGCATAGATCTAATTAATAGGCTTTGTTTCTAAAACATTCCAAGCCGCGCCCAGTCTTTTACAACGGCTGATAAGCGAGCCGCACAGATCTCGGGACTGACTCTGCTGTTAGTTTTTAAGTGTGCCCCCCCCAGCCTCCTGCCCCCCAAATCAAGATAATTCAAATTAAAGTGGTACAATATTTAATTCACTGAAGTTTATCGACAAATTTCAAATTTTATTAAAAAAATTCAAGTATTACAGATTTTATGCCATTTCTATTTTTTTTTTTAATTTAGTTTAAGAAATAATAAAAATTTAAAATGGTATAAAACCTGTAATTCTAGAAATTTTTTAATAAAATTTGAAATTTGTTGATAAACTGCAGTGATTTAAATATTGTACCACTTTAATTTGAATTATCTTAATTTGGGGGAGCAGGAGGCTGGGGGGGGCACACTTGAAAACTAACTTTTTTTCAATTTAAATTCTGCTTGCGCAGAACTTGTCTAATATAATGTCATTGTAAACTCATATAAATTTGATGTGGGTCCCATGTCTAATAACTGAGATATGGGTGTTCCAAAATCCACCAGCCGCCACTGGATGTTGTATCGGCAAATTGTGATTACTTTTTCCCTATTATGCGGTCGGGCAATGATTTAAGCGTTTAGAATTAAAGTTGGAAGGGGTGCGCGCTAAATTTAAAGGAAATATTTTAAACTTTGATGGTTATTCGATGTTTTGATACTTTTAATGACTGGAAATTAGTTTAAAAACGTTTTATATTTAAATAAGTAATGTATTCAACATTTCAAATTATATTATAATTTTAACATGTGAGGCCCGGCCTCAGTTGCTTTATACGACGAGCCGCCACTGTTACATTGTAACTCCAAGACTTTTTAGGTAAGTATACCATTTGCAATTAAGTGGGACTTTGGACATTGTACATTTTATGCTCTTAAAAGTGGTTTTTGTTTAAAATGTATGTCTTTAAAAACCAAGAAGCTACAGGGTTAAGCTACATAATAGAGGTATTCTGTGGTTAAGCGCGGTCTACAATTGTCGAAGATGTCCGATCGCAGGACATAAACATAAGCAAACCTCTGTAAAATGCAAAGTGTTAATTTTAGTTTAATATCTAAAAACCTTTACGTGTTAACATGGTTTATCTGCAGATGTTTATTACACTATAGCTAATTATAATTATAATGACATATTTTTTACATATTTGTGTATATTTTTCATCAATTTTGTAATGTGTGCTTTATTAATGGTACTGGAATTTTTTTTCAAATACGATATAATGCCCTTTTCATTAATTAACAATATCGTAGTATTGTGACATGCAATAAGAATAAAATACCGATATACTAAAAGAAAAGAGTCAACAAAATAAGAAATAATTATACAAATATTTAAACAATTTTCAGTGATAACTTACTGCTAATTACTGTTAAATCGTTTTAATGAGTGCCAAACATCAATTAGTTTGATAAAAATTGACAGCTTATGAATTATTAATCGATTGCACAATAAGTTTATTATTATGGTTTTTAGGAATCTAACAATTTATAATTAAAATACAAACAAGCAAAATAAGATAAAATAAAATAAATTTACTTACCTAAATTTTTCTGAATAGGTTCATCTTCAGGTACATTTCTGCTTAAAACAGCAATAATTAAGTACGTAAAGGTCACAGACAGTACGCAGGTAACTCTGAGCGCTAAGGCAACTTTATTTTTTCTAGTCCTTAGTAACATTGCCATGCTATATTAAATGGCAGTTACTATCAAATAAGCATAAATGCACTGTATATCGCGATTTTTTAGAATCTAATTTATTTTATTAAGTATTAACCTTTAAACCTCGTATACACAATCACTTTAGCTCCGAATGATAACGTAAAATTATTAAGATTAAACTTTTCGAGTGTACAGATAGGCCGTAAGAGACCAAGTAAACCGTTTCGTTGGGAGCAAATTTAATTTATACTTTAGTTTTACGTTATCTCGAGACGTTACCTAAGACATATCAGCATGGAAAGTTATTGTTATAAATAGCAGCCTTATGGCCATTATCTTAAGATGATGGGTAAACAATAATTGTATTGACGCTTTCTTAAGGCACTACACTACCAAAATATTTGTTTACTCGTTTGTTTATTTTCTAGCATAGTATAATTCCCATGGACATATTAAGATAATTCATAACCTTCTAATACATATCCTATTGATGTACTACTAAATGTATTAAAATTAAGTTTGTTTTTAAGTATATATTGCCGTAAGTGGTTAATATAATGTTAAGTTAATTATTTTAAAACATTTGTTTTTATGAAATCTTTATTTCTATAGACATAAAAATTATAATGATAATAAATCTTTTATTAAACAATTAACAAATCGTCCCGTATCACAAGGTTTTTAGTCAAAAATTAAGTAAAGTCTAACAAAAAATACATCTTGCAAGTTAAGACAAATGCAAAATTTGACAAGTACATGTGTACGAGTGTATTAATGATGATTATTATTTAGCTCGTTATACTGCATTCTTTTACCCTTTAATTCGTGTTTTTCGTGTGCCCAGTTTTCTTTTCAAAAAGTTTTTAAATTTGATGACCATCCCAAAGCAACTTTTCCCCAATTTTCGGAACGGAAATTTCGGAAAGGAAAAAACAAAAAAACATGACGAAAAGACAACATTTCGATTTTCCACCGTTATCGGTTTTTGAGCCACTGGGATTCGAGAAAAAGCGATTTACAGACTCACAGGATACAAAAACAAAGTTGTTCAGAATTCGATTGCAAGTCGATCCATACATTTGAAGGTACAGTTCATTTTTTTTTTATCTGGACTCGTGTTTTTTGTTAGGTTGGTGGCTTATGCCAGTTTAACTTAGTATTTTTAGTATTTAAAAATGGTACTTCTGCTAAAGAATTTAGTTAAATATTTTGACACTGTCAAATTGACAACAATATTTATTATTGATAATTTACTTGACAATAATTATTATAAATAAAAAGATAACTGCCAAAAATAATAGCAACGAATTCGAATTTAAAAGCCTTTTTGAGGGCAAAACTTCATTTTGATGAAATTATGCCAAATGCCACAATGGAAGAAAAAGTACATCGCCTTATGGACATTTTTGGAGTAAAAAAGTAACGAATTTGGTTTTATAAATATTACATCAGACATCAGAGTATACATTATAATTCTTATTGGCTTTAACAAAATACCTATTCACCATTGGACAACATTTACGTTCACAAAAAATTAATTAATTAATTAATTAATTTCTTTTATATAAATTCTTTTCAAAGCGAAGATTATTATCCGCTATCAATACTTTCTATTCTGGGCCGTACACTGAAAAAAATAAGCTGTTGAAACAACAAAAAAAATATTAATTCAACTTTTTATGCACTTTAAATACAAGCAATGGTTTTTGCACGTTTACTTAACCATCTAAAAATGTCAAATTGTATTGTTTAATTGAACAACAAATATTAGTCAAATGAACAAAATGAGAATATTTGTTCTAATCTGCTAATCTGGTTAATTAAACATTCTTGATATGTCGGAGTAATATTTCGAAAATGGTTGTGCTAATATTTTTAAGATGTTAAGGTAAATTTCTTGAAATGTCCAGGTAACCTTTTAAGCATATTCAATTAACACCAATAAAATGTTAAATTAAAATAATTTGCGCTAATGTTGGGTTAATTCAATTATGGAATTAATATAAAGAGAAAGAGTTTTTGTTTTGAGTGCGTTCCACCTACTTTAAATACCTACCGACATACAGCTGATTCGACCTATATTGGGGGTCTTATCAGTCACTGATAATCAGTGTCGGGCAATTTGGTGTAGTGGAAGTTCCACTGTGGAACACACCGAAAACAAACGGCTACCTGAGCTTATATAGGTACTCCTATCGTAAGCCAACTGAGGCGAGATGTAATAACATCACGTGATCAACACCGTCTAATGACATGGCGTAACATTAGTAACATTTACAATTTGTTATATGAACAAATTTAATGTTTTGGATTTAAAGAGCAACTAAACGTTAATTTAAGAGTTTTTTTAGGTAATCCTAAAAATTTCAGTATTTGATTCAACCAATTCCAGCTATTAAATCAAAATAGGATAAACATTTTAATTCAAAAAATTAGTTTATGTTAAATCAATATTTTAACTGTCAAATGAACAAATAAACTTTGACAAACTCTGACTATTGCTTTGACACCAAAATATAGATTAATCCAATAGGTTTTTTGATGAAACATTTTCAAAAATGACATTTAGGCAAACGTTAACTCAACTACATTATTTTTTTCGGTGTAAAGCAACCTATATTTAACTACTTTTTTATATGATTTTACTCATCCAAGCACCACCAAAGCATTTTTAACTACGAATTTCGACAACTCAACTTGACAACTGCACAATGTAACCTACAATAATTTATACATAACCACAATTAGATTTATAAGTAGCTTAATTTGTTCTAATCAATGCGACCAATTTTGGTTCTTCATTTACCAACCAAAACCCTAAATTTGCAACGTTGACGCAGTCCAGATAAAAAAATGAGCTTTACTCCTATCGATGATCCTTTACACACTTTCGGCATCGGCCGCCGCGGCAGTGCACTGTAGAACAAAAGTATACCGGGGCGCCGGTGCTATAGATTATACTTTAGAAATTGTTAGTATCCGACCAAAGGTGAGTTTTTCGGCCAAAGCCAATGATTGGTTATTTTAAGACCATGATGTCTTTTTATTTTATGAAGGTGTATGATTTTATTAAATACATGTATACAAAAATGCAACCCAAAATTTCATGACCATTTCAAATATTTTTAGATTAACACCGTTTTGGTGTTTGCTATATATAACATTTTCAATCATAATTTATGGTTTTTATATTAACACCACTTGGTGTTGGATTTAGACACCATTTTAAGATAACTTTTTACACCACAGATATTTTAAACAGTGTAGGTCTTACTCTCTACCATAGCAAATTTCGGGTAAACCTTCGGCTCAATTTTAGGTTAATCCGAATATTTGACCTAAGGTGTCATTTTTGGCCAAAGCCAAAGCTTAGGTCGCACTACAAATCGACCCATGCAACGAAGACTATTGTAACTCAGTTTTGATTGTAGACTAGAGTAACTCAACTTAATAAAGTTTTCGCCTGTAGGAATGTGGATTATTACACTTACTATACAGGGAAGTTGTTCACTGGTTGCCTATCGTTTCATGTCTGAGTTACTGTAATCTTCCACCAAATAGAGCTTGAAAAAATCTGTTGATGCCATATAGTAAGTCAAAATCCACGTTTTTGAGTTACTATAACATAAGTTAAACACGTCTTAAAGTAGATGCCGCATATGCAATTTAAACACTTGAATGAAGATGTGATTCAGTACAACAAAATTTGTTCTATATTAATATACGTTATTGTTAATTCAAGATAAAATTGCAGTTTATTTTTTGTATAACAAGTTGTTTTTGTAAACGTCATGGGTTAAAAATACTCCTTTGTAATTACATATTTCACAAGAAATCTCACAATTAGTTAGGTAAACCATGTTTAAAACAACAATAATTATTTTTTACACGGATTTCTTGGCATTTTTTAAAATTCTCGGTATAAACCTTTTTTATACTTTAGAATACACCAAGATACCATGTAGCTACTTAAAATTGGACTTATGTTTACACTACAACTAAATATTTACTTTGTTCGTTATCAGTCATTTACTAAGTTTTGTGATGTCACTAGTGTATTAACTGGAAGTTAACTTTTAAAACCAAATAATTTTGAAAACGCAATTTGAAATAAGTATTTGTAAATATATTAACGCGTGAGAGGCTTAATAGTAGTAATATATGTAATTTTTATAAATACGTGTGGAGCCAGTCTGTGGATAAAGCTATTGCCATGTTAATTATTAGAAGTATATTACATTATAACTTGCCGCTTGGACAAACACATCAGTACAGCAATGGGCGGACTTAGGTATGGGCTTTATGGGCAGCAGAAAAAAATAAATCCCTTTTTTATTATAACTGCATATTAGTGCATCAATTGAAAAAGTTGTATAATATCTATAAATATAAGAAACCTTTTTGACAAATATAAAAGTTATTCTAAATCATAACTGACTTCTACATGTAATGGATGCAGTGTGCGAAAGGCAGCTAATTAATAATAATTGCATTGCGATTTAGCACCGATTGTCATCTTCTCCAAACAACTTGTTGGCAACCAGAAATTTGGCCGTCCCACATAGAATACAGGGTGTCTAGTTAAAAAAAACAATGCTCTATTGCTTCCAGTAATTTCAAAAAGATTAGAAAAAGTTATTTTTAAAAGAATTGTTTCATTTTTAAAATGCAAAAGTATTTTAGCCCAATCTCAACATGGCTTCACAAAAAACGTTCAACCATGACAGCGCTGCACTTTTTGGGCTTGGACTTTTGTGGATATAGGGGTTCCCCAGGGTAGTATTTTGGGGCCTCTATTGTAATGATTTAAACCAAATAATTAATACTTTTCATTGTGAGTTTGCAGATAAATAACAATAGGGGCCTTAAATTTCTCCAAATTGAATACAGACACAAAATTTTGCAATAATCCTGAATCGCTTGCTGAATATTTTAAAACATCAAAATAAGTTATGAATCAACAAAAGAGACATAGACTAAGCCTAGACAGATAAGGGTAGTAGGCCAAAGTCTGACAGCACCCACGGGCTGTAAAAAAAAGGCCAGAACGGCACCAGTAACGTACGGGTCGTTCAAAGAGGCCGCCAAAAAGGTCACAGTTGCTTTGGAGGGTTATCCGCAGGCCATGATGGATGCTGATTAGCTCACGGCTCTTTAGGCGTCCATCGAAGAAACTCTAGAAGATATTCTGGAGGAACTGTGGGCCATATCCTCCATCAGGTGCACTTATAGGTCAGGGTA